CCTTCATCCTTCCCCACTGGTCCCTGTTCCCATTTGTCTATTTTGACCTGGAAGAGCAGGAGCGGGGGCCAAGCACACTTGGGTCTCACTCTCCCTCTTCTGCCCTGCCTCTGGTCTCCCTCTCTGATGACCCCTGGTTCTCCCTTTCTGCCTCCCTGCCCTTCCATAGGGTTTAAAGGAAGAAGGAGAGGAGGAGGGCCTTCTCCTTGGACAGTTCACCTACAACCATGATGGTGACCCCATCCAAACATTTTACTTGGAGGTAAATACTTTGCCCCTGGAGCACCTGATCCCCGAGAAGAAAAAGGGGCCTCTGAGGTCTCTGAGCCGTAGAGAGCCCTCAAGGTCTCGGGTTTTCCTTTTCCCTCCTCCCCAAGGGTGACTCCATGGGCACATACCAGCTGGTGGAGCTCCGGGTGCTGAGCAACTGGGGCCACCCCGAATACACCTGCATCTACCGCTTCCGTGTGCACGGGGAGCCGGCGCACTGACCCCCGGCCCGCGCGGGATGAGGATGCTGCCGGGCTGACAGCAGGAGGGATGCGTCTGGTTCACTGCTTCGCACGTAGAAATCCTGGCATGTGCCAGCAGCCGCCCCTGGAAGCTGCTCCCCTGGCGGGAGGAGAAGAGCTGGTGTTGAAGGGGTGAGGCTTTCACTCTTCCAAGGACCAGGGTGGTGAGGCAAGAGCATCCCACGTGGTCCTAGCGCAGCCTGGCTTGTTTTCAGTGTGTACGGGACGTTTTAACTTTTTAAGCTAACTTTGTATCGGGTTTGCGCTGCTCCTCTTCCCTGTTGTCCCACTCCTTTCTAGCATGGCCAGGGCTTGGGAAAGAGGTGTGTCATTTTGTGATGTGCTTCATGCAGGCTTGGGTGTAGGAGATTGGTGTGTGGGACCACGGTGCCTGACTCAGTGCTGCCAGAGTAAGTGGGAGCCACTGGTCGTGGCCACCAGGTCCCCTCCACACAGGGTCACTTCTCTTGCCTTGGTGTTGGTTTGGGTAAAGATCTCCAGCCCTCCAATGCTGGGCTGGCAGAGAGGAAATAAGACAGTATTAATGAAGTATTAACATAAAACTAATGGTTTGGAGCAGCAGGAGGAGAGGAATGTGGCACATGTTGGTGGCAGAGCCCACCTTGGTGCTGCCGTCCATCCACGCGAGCCCTCCTGCTGACAGTAGCTGAGTTGGGTCTTACCGATGCTGTTGGCCTCCCTGGCTGGCTGCCACCCAGTGTTAAGCTTGATGATGCTATTGAAAATTCCTGTTGCCTGCTTTTCCTTTGGGGTTTGTTCTGATTTTTTTTTTTAAAGAAGGGTGGGGAGGGGAGCTATTTTCCAGTTGGGGTGTTGAGGTTGGTTTTTTTTGTCGTGGGGGGGTTTGTAGTAACAAAGGGAAAAAATACTTTTTCCATACAATTTGTACTTAACCAGAGAATGTTACATGGTTCCACTTGGATAAGTGGCTTAGATGTGGAGAGGGCTAGAGCTTTGTTTAGTAGAATAGCATACACAGTAGGATAAGCTAGAATAAGATGAGCAGAGCTGTTTAAAATATGGGCCTCCCACTGTTGGTGGCTTGGTAGCTGGGGTGCTCTGTGCACTGCTGCTGGTGGGGTGCTGGAGGCATTCCTGCCCTCCTTGCACTGGATGTCCTCTGAGACTGCAATGCGTGGCTGTGGCCTCTTGCCCATGGCTGCATCTGTATATACTTGATGGTTAGCAGCAAGTGGAGCTGCTGCCCCAGGGCTCTGCAGGGCTCCTGGGGGGGAGCTGGGGCAATTGCCAGGGCTTGCAGGTGCCAGCATGCAGAGCCACCCCCCGCCCGCTCCCTCAGCTCTCAGTCCTTGATGGCAGGTGGCTGGTGCGGGCTGACCTCCTTTCTCTTGGAAGGGCTCCCTTTTCCTCCTACCTCTCCTTACTGGCATTGCACTGTTTTCTGAGCCCTGGCTGTGGGAGGACTGGGCTGGAGCAGGAGGGGGAGCTCTGCCTGCAGTGGGCATGTAAATCTTATCTGTACTGTTGGCATGGGTGGAGGTACGGCAGGGGTTTGCAGGAAAGATGCACAGGGACCTTCCCCAGGCTGAGGGGTGCTAGGGCCATGTGGCCCCTCCACCTCCTGGCTGCCTGCATCACGCTGTTTGGCTTATGTTATTGCACGGTGTTAACAGCCTCCAGGTTTGTGTTGTGTTTCATTGAAAGAAAAGCTTAAGGGTTCATGGTCAGTGTTTCAGCCCTGTCCAGTGCTGATATCATCCTTCCCCTGGCACGATGTATTGATTCCCACTCTGGTAGTCTCTGCTTGAAGCACTGTAGGCATAGAGAAGGAGAACAAGGGGCTGAAGAAGTGTCTCCTTTCAGCATCAGGCAGAGTTGCTGAACCTTGACTCCCCCCATGCCAGCTTGGGAGGGTGAGGGTGGTGGCAGCACACCCCTTCTTGGAGCAAGGGGTCTCCTTGCTCCAAGCAGGGGAAGTGAGCTCAGAGGGCGGAGCCCTGTCTCCAACAGGTTAAAATTACCCTCCGGAGCCTCTTGCAGAGCTGGGAGGCCCTGCTGCAGGGACAAAGCTGACCTGGAGCCAGAGCCAGGGACTATAAATTCTCTCCTATATTGAGCATAGTCTTAATTCTTGGCATCCACAGCCAAAGTTATTTTAAACTTGTCTACAGCTGCCTGCTTGCCTTGGAGTCATGTCCATGTCCATGAGTGCACTAAGCACATGGAGCTGTGCTTTTATGAATGCCTAAACCTGTTCTGGGTTTGACAGACCAGTTCCTGTATTTATTTGAATCATAAAGAGAAAGCAGAGATGAGGCTCTCCCTTTTTCTCACCTTTCTCTGGCTGCTGGAACAAGAGCTATAACCATGAGCCTGGGAAAACCCCTTTTCTTATGTTCTTTCTGGCTCCCTGGTCTCTGGCTTGGACTGTAAGAACAGACAAGGTCTTTGCCCAAGAAAAAAAGGATTTTGTGGTAAATCAGGCATGCTGCTGAGAGGCAGGAAAGGTGACCTCTTCCCCTGAAAAGGGAGTGGTAGTGGGATCTCTGCTCCTTCCGCGTGGGTGTTGACTGCTGTGTCTGGGTTAGGGAACATTTGGCTCTACAGTGCAAGCTTGCCCTGTCCTTTGGACATGAAAATCTTTGCTCCCTGGAGCTACCAATGAGAGCTCATCCTGGGGCTTCATGGTGTTTTCTAGCTGGTTTTAGAGGCCTCACCATGTGTGAGGATCTCCAGGAACACATGCAGAGGCTACATGTGGATTTTCAGCCCCCAAATTCAGCATCAGTGCTGGGCTGCAGCCCGAGCACCTGTGCCAGAAGCCACTACCTCTCGAGATTGGAGCTTGCAGGATTTCTGCAGCACTTCCCAGAGCTGCAAAAGGAGAGAGGGCACAGAAAACTGCTGCTTCAGCATGTGCTTCTCTTCCCGGGGTATTTAATCCTAGAGGTGATGCTGAAGATGTGCCTGGTGAGGCAGGAGAAATGCAGAACAGCTGTGGGAGCAGATTTCTCTTATTTACTCCATTTCCATCCTCTATTCTCCCTCCTTCTCAGTTTGCCCTATACATGTGTTACAAATTAGCCCTGCTGAAACAGATGGTTACAGACAGGAGTTTGTGTTTGATGCCGTAGCCTGTTGCAAATGCTGCACTGTTTTGTTTCTTTTATTTTTTAATCAACAGATTGTAATTTATGCCTATGCAAGAAAAAAAAAACAAGACATAAATTATATCAAAACTGCCCGGAGTGGTTTGGATGTTTTGTAACTGAATTTGCTGTTGGGAATGATGCAGAGCTAGTAGATAGACAAAGCTATTCTTGGAGCTCTTCTTCTATGTAGTTTTATGGCAAATCCTTATTTTCCAGCCTGATGTACTAACTCTAGGGCCAGTTAAAGTTATCACCTTGTCATTGAGCAGGCTTGAGGATGAAAAAGTCCTTGAAACAATGCTGAAAACAATACTTATTCCTAAATTCTCTAATTCCTTGGGACTAAAATCTTCTAGTAGACTTAAGTCTGTGATATCATGGCTGTCCTCATTCTGCAGTCATCTCCCAAGCCCTCCCATCCTCTGCCTTACCATGAACAGAGCCCAGCTTGGCCCTAAGGAGCAGCAAGTGAGGCTGGGTTATCAGGGACAAAGCCTGACACAAAGCCCAGTTCAGGGGATCTGCTTACTTATCTTTTCCTTCATATGGGCTAACTACCCATCAGCTATAAAGCAAGCAGAAAGGAAATAACTTCCTCACGCTAAGGAAAAATTAACTTAGTGCATAAAAAAAGGCTGAAAAATGGGAAATTGAACTGGCTTGAGGAGGGTCACAACCTTGTCTGCTTAACCTGGGCTTAGAGGAAGGCTTATATTGAGGAATACTCATGCATCTCCTCCCAGACCACGCTAGGGCCAGGCTTGCTCTCTGCTTGCCCTGGACCAGCCCTTTCAAGGAGAAGGGCTCTGTGGGCCTCTGGCTACCACAGCCCAACACTTACCTATGAAAGGGCTGTGCAGAGCAGAAAAAACCTTTGTGAATCTCTGAGATCAACTGAGGAGACAGAAAAAGGCTCCTTGCAAACCCTGGAGAGTCCCACTGTATCTGCAGAAACAGATGAGGTGCATGTCCCAGGAAGCACAGTAGGCAGGCACTGCAAATGCAGTGTTAATGCTCCATCTTCTAGCAGAGTTTCTCTCCTGGGGCTGGCCCCAAGTGATTTGCTAGAGATGCTCTTCACACCCACTCACTCACATCTCACACTGCACAGCTCTCACCACACCCGTGTTCTCATTTTACCACTCTGCCACCATGGTGCACTTCATTTTGGCCAGCTATCAGGGCTGTGCAGAGGCTCAGCAGCAGCTCTCCTGTGCTGTGCCATGCCCTGCCCTGCTGTCACTATGAGCACAGCCTCCTCTTCCTTTCAGCAAAGGAACCTGGTGCCAGGCAAACCAGCTTCCTCTGGCTTTCAGCCTGGTTTTCCAGAGAGACAAAAATCAAGAAGATGCACTTTTACTTGGAACAAACTTTTTTAAAATTTATTTTATAGATCACACCAGCCTGAGTGATCTGTAAATGCTGGTCACAAAAGAGAGATCACACCACCTCCTTTGCACAAATTGAAGTGAACCTTCTTTCAGTCTCGGCCGTCTCCTTCATTTGGAGCACAAGGAATGGAGAAAGAGAAAACCGCCTGGAGCTCCCTGCTCCCCTCAGAAGCAGAGTGCAGTGAAATCAGATGCAGTTTGATGCTGCTACAGGGCCATAAGACAAACAAGCCAGGCCCTCGTGCCCTGCTTAGCCACACCTCACACCCCCTCACAATGCGGGTGCTATTAGTGTTGTAGCCGCCTATAGTTCCTCCCTCGCCAGGAGAGTGCTGGTATTTAGGCACATAGCTTGGAAAAGGACTGTCTGACCTCCCCCTTCCACCCACTGCAGTCTCTAAGGCAAAGGACCCTGGTCTCCAAACCATGTTTCACCTCTCCCATGCCGCTTAATGCTCTTGGAGTGCTGGTGTTGGCAGCGGGAGATGCGCTCTGCCACTCAGCCGGCCTGGAAGCCTACCCCGGGTCACAAGGTAAGCTGCAATGAACTCCACACAGGTGACACAGAGTGAGGAACAGGAACAACCCATTAAGGAGGGAGAGAAAATTTGCAGTGTCTCTCTGATTAAAACAGAAGTCCTTCATTGGAGGAGGAAGCCCTCAGAGAAACCGAGCCTGACCACGCCTGCTGGGGGGAGCCATGATTTGCTGAGGCTGCCGCCTCCTCCTCAAAATGCTACCATGCTCCCAGAGCTCACCATAAACTGGCAGAGGATCATTCCTGTCCTCACCAGAGCCAAGGGAGGAGGCAGGGTTAGAAGAAAAGAGATCAAAATAAGCAGGGAATCAATCACTTGAAAAACTCATTAAATGGTTAAAAAAACCATTCTAACAGTAATTTGTAAACTGTCCTTGCAGGGCCTTCTTGGAGAAGCCAGAATTTCTCAGTAAGAAAAATAAAATCTTAAAAAAAATTCAGTGAAAGTCAGAAAAATTACCATGTACTTCCAACGTTGAAAGCACTTCTATAAATTTGGTACCAATTTGTCACTGCCCTCTTTGGCCAAGAGGGGGGAAGACAAATCCTGCATCTGCCATGGCAAAGTTTGGCCAGTGAGTTCCAAAAAGGTTTTGGATATCTTGGAGTAAACAAAATCAAGGGGAGGTCATGTTAGCCTGATGTCTCTGTTCCAAAGGTATCTTACCACCTGTGACCTCTGTCCGTCGAGGTGAGAAGGCTTTCTCTGGCTCAAGGGACGGACTGAGTGCTCCTGCACTGTTCTTAATACTGTCAGTGGAGCTGCTGAAGCCTTGGGAGGCAGGTTAGATGTGCTCCAATGTGCACTGAATAAACACTAGGAAAAGCAGCACGGTGGGAAGGGGAACTGGGTGGGTAAATGCCTGCCCATTTAACTCTGTTGCTAGTTAAAATTTTAAGTGCTTTCAACATTATTTGAGGATATTGAGCATAGGATCCCTGAACTTAACATCAACTGCTTTCCAATTTGTTTCCCTCTTAGATCTCTAACTAAAGAACTTTCTCACCATCTCCTTCAAACTTCAGTCATTGCAACATTAAATTAAATCCACTTAGAAATAGTTTAAGAGGGAGAGAATCCAAACCATGTTTGGCACAAGGCCTCAGTGGTGATGAAACAATGCTCCATGGAGCCATCCTAAACAACCTGTTTTAACCTATGCAAGTCTGAAATTTCAGGCATCTGATAACCCCTGGATCTGAGACAGCAAATAGGGGAGAGCAGCAAGTCCTGTGGACAGAAAGGGGTGAGGGAGGAGGGAGGCAACTAACTGGCTCTTTGCAGCTCTATCCAAACTCCCCTCTCATCTTCATGCACACAAAATATAATAAAAACTAATAAGAATAAAAACTAAGCCCATGATGTACAAAAATGTGTCGACGGGGAGGAGGAAGGTGTCAGTTACTCAGTTCTGTCTTACCACCTTCATTAGCTTATAAATTATACTCCTCTCCATTGCTTCCTGCAGGGAGGAGGGACGATTCTTCTGCAGCCAATCTGCTGGGATGGGTTTTGGTTTACGCTGCTCTGGATGTTTTGGATAAGAAATGAAGGGATGGGGAGGATTTCTTCAGAGGGAGGAGAAATAAGAAATTCAGCAGCCACTGGCAGGAGTCACACAGGCTCCCTGAGATTTCACTTTATGGCGCTGACCCCCACGTCGACGGCCTCCTCCTCCGACTTTTGACTGAAAAACAAGACTGACTTTAGTGCAAAGCAACCCCTCTGTTGGGATATCAAAACAGCAGGAATTCAGATGGATCACACACACATTCAGACAGCAGCAGGGCAGCTGTGACTGATCAGCTTTCTACCACTGCAGGAAGGAGATAAGGCAGGAGGGAGACAGACACACCATGAGGGAAGGAGGAGAGACAGATGCACCAGGAAGTGTTGCCCTTCAAGCTGGGAAGAATTTGATTTCCCAAGTTTCTAAATGCTTCACTCTAATGAGAGCCAGCAAGTGCCATGGGGCTCAGCATTCAGGAAATCAAAGCCTCAGGCTCCCTTGACTTTGTACAGAATTGAAGGAGAGCCCCCCACCCCCTACCATGGCTCTCAGGCTCACCTGACTCTTTTCCCAACCTCAGCAAACCCACTGTTTCTCTTTGAGAGCAGCCAAATACCTTATTGCCCTCACGGATGTGGGGCTCTTCATCCAATGCAGGCTGAGGGGATGCAGCAAGGAGAGAGAGGAAGATGTAAGCAAGAACAAAAGCAACCCAGGTCCTCAGAGGGGAGGGATGAAGCAAAGAATGAGCTGGGACCACTACTTACAACCACAGTGACACTACAAAAAGACAAGGACGGGATGGAGGACTGGTATGAAGCCCTAGGGATATGCAGAGGGAGAGAACCCCTGCCAGGGGGGGCACCTTTGACGAGCAGTCTGGCTCAAGAGGGTGAGATTTGACCATGGCAACTAATATAGCTAGAATTAAGAAGGGGAACACTCTCACTTGACAGTTGGTTCCTGAACCCTTCACTTCCTGAGGAAGGAACAAGGAGAGGACCTTTCTTCTATCAGTAATAAAACTGATCAGCAATTTTATTACTGATAGAAGAATTCCTGTGAGAATTGAGTTTCCATTCCCTTCAGGCCAAAAAGGCTAGGTATCTTCCATGGACAAGCTGAACTGAGAAGTCCTAACCAACAAAACAATCTGGATACATGTCTCTAAAGAGAAATTTAAAGCCTTTCCTTCTTCTTGGATGTCCCCATCCTTATTTTTCGACACAGTAGACAACCTATGCCTAATACTTAGGTTGTAATTTTTCTAGTGTAGAGATATTCTACCTCTCATTCAGATATCGAAGACTTGTTCTGTGACTGGTTGTTGTATGTTTCACTAGTTCAGCTACTGGGTATATAGAGACGCTTCACTGTGCACATTGTCAAAGCAGTGAAACAGGTTGCCAAGGGAGGTTGTGCAGTCTTCCCCCTTGGGAGGTTTTTAAGACACGACTGGATAAAACCCTGAACAACCTGGTCTGACCTCACAGCTAATCCTATTTAGAGCAGGAGGTTAGACTATATATTTCCTGAGGTCCAGCCTGAATTGTCCCAGTACCCTGAACTGCAGTCTGCTGAAGGTCAGCCATGGAGTCATCCAGTCATCAGAGAATTATGATTCCTGCTGTAAGACTACTTACATTTCTATTTGTTCTTGTGACAAGGTGAGTTCGAGATATGAGGGGATAATACTTGTGCCCTTCCTCCAAGAGGTGAAACCATGACACAAACAGCTAGGACAGACAAGGTTATTTTCCCCACTTACCAATGGTTGCAGGGCAGTAGGTGTCAGTGGTGCTGCAGCTGTTGAGGGGGCCTCATTCCCAGCTGCTGGGCCTCCAGCTGCCATCCCAGCAGCAGGAACACCATCCTCTCGTTTCGTAACAGCTCCCTTCTTTGTTGACTGCATCTTGATCTGCTGTGGCTTGGAGTTCATTGGTGAGTTATTGGTGGTCTGGAGTAGCTACAAATTGCAAAGGGAGAGGCCAAACTCAGCATCGAAATAGCCAGCTCATCTGGCAAGGTTCAATGCTGCTTTTTAATAAAAAGCCTCAGGAGAATTTGTTAAAATAACCATAAGGAGAAGAATGCAGCAGCAGCAGCTGTTTGAAGAAACCTAGACCTCTGATCTTCTACCCTCGGAAAGGACCACTTGGCTGAGGTGACTAACCTCCACAACATGTCTCAAATGGACCAGCTACAAGATGTCAGAAAGAGACTGAGCCTTAAGAACCAGCAGCATATGGCTCAGCCCCTCCCTTTACACTCCCTCATTCACACCAGCTAAAGACCCACCACATGACAAAGCACATTGGTCATCCCTGACCCATGTCAGGCCTGATGCTTGTGGTTGAAGCACAGCCTCTTCCCTCAATCTTCCAGAGCTATCTTGATTCTCCTGCTGGCTTCGCAGTGCAAGAAGTAGCTAATGGGCAAAAGCAAGTGGGACTCAGCAGCCTTTACCTTAGTGATGGTACCCACAGCTTTGGTGCGGCCTTCCCGGAAGACCAGCCGCTGGTCTATATGTAAATATTCCGGGGTTTTGATGAAGCGGAAGTGCACCGTGGCTTTGTCCCCTGTCCGCAGGCAGTCCTTGTCCATGCTGAGAATCGTGGCCGTCTGACGGATGCTGCCACAATGCACTGTGAATGTAAAGCACAGAGGCTTTCAGCAGCCAGGCCCATTAGTGGAACAAGCTTCAGAGACATCTGAGGCAGCTCCTCACCCTACAGCAAAGACCGTATGGGTCACACAGCTGCCTTTGTTCCATCCCAAAAAGAACATGCATATAAGCTAGAACAGCTGCCTTCAAATCCTGCCTGTCCTGAAGCACCCTCAACAGAATCCTGCACACCAAGCAGCTGGGCTAGAGGGCAGGACCCAAAATGAGCATCAGCACTTTCCACCAACATTTGAAAGTGGAGAATCTTTGCACCATGGAGATACAGCACAGGCAGACTCCAGGTACATTTGAGAGCACACATCTCCTTTTTACCTTATAGCCCTCCCAACTCTCCTCTGTAAGCTCCCTTCCAGCTCCCTTCCACAATGCTGGAAAAGGCAAAACTAGGAACTGTGGCATATATTCAGGTTGGCAGAGACATCAGGAGCAAAATTATCTTGTGCTAGATCTGATACAAAATGCTAGCACTGGGAAACAAAAACAATCCAACACTGACACACATACCCATGGCCTGGTATCGTGGGCTGATGGTGGTGGGGTGATGGAGCACCAGAATCTCTGCTTCAAACTCCCACGATGCTTGTGGATTCAGGCGTGGTGATACCATTACCATGCCTTTCCGTATGGAAGAACGCTTGATCTGAAAAGCAGAGATACAAAAAATCTTAGCATAATTCTCCAGAGAAGAAATCTGCTGCTCTGGCTGACTGCATCCAGCAGAATCCTAAGGGATTTCACAGATACTACCTCATGCCCAGCAAAAGGCAAAGCAAAAGCTGCGTAGCTGTATGTTATGTATAGGATACTATGTAAAGGTTGCAAAAATCAAATAGAGTTGAAGTTTATAAAGAAGCTTTAAGGCACTGGAAATGCTGGACACTTGACACATTTACCTCACTGATCCTTTAAAAGCAAAACAAACATCCTGGTTGCACATTATCCAAGAAAACAATCTCTCCTAAATCATGAGATGTGTTAATATAACATGATAAACCCAGACACATGAAGTATGGTGTAGCTTAAAATATATCCCCTTAAAATCAGTGCAGCTTCTATTGACAGAAACCTTTTGCAAGAAGAGTCATATCAAATTTTGCTGATTTTTAAATCCCAAATCATGCAGCTGGTCCTACAAGCAAGAGGAGTAGTGTAAATACACTGTGCAGGCTACTAATGCAGTTCCAGCACAAAAGGAGACTTTTCTTGCAATGCCTCCACTTTCTTAGCTATCTCCAACATCATTATCTAGTGGCATTGCTATCCCCTGGCAGTTCCTAGGAGAAAAAACCTGGATGTGGAACCACAAAGGTTCTATGGGATTCCATTCCACTGCAACATGAGGCAGCTGATGTTTGTAGAAACAGCCTTACTGCAGCTGAACTCCAAGAATACTTGAAAATTAAGAGGGCAGTTCCTGTTCTGGGGATCTAGAGGAGGTCATCTCACCTTCTTCAAGGCAAAGGAGGCAGTCTGGCCTCCCCGCACCTCCTTGACGGGCATCCTCTTGCGGTGGATGGACTTGACAGCAATAGGGAGGAAGTTGCCAAGGGGATCTGGTCCCAGCAGCAGGGTGTCATTTAGCTTGATTAGGCCTCTCAGTGTCGTCCCAGAGACAACTGTTCCTACACCCTATGCCAAGAAAGAAAAACCATTAATTGTGGTTACTCTACCAGGCCAGCAGAAGAGCTCTAGAACTCTCCTCTCTAGAGAAGATACCTTCTTCAGCCTAAAAGAGGGAACAGAATATTCTTCCAAATACTAGGCCCCTTACCGGGACAGAGTAAGTATCATCTATCTGGAATTCTGCTGGCTCTTCTTCCCTGTAACTGGTCCGTGGAGACAAGAGATTAAGAAACATCTTCAGCAAATCTAGATTCTCCCCAGTAACATTTGAAATCTGGAAAATTGGGCACATCCTGTAAAGGAAAATTGATGAAAATGGAGTTAGTTGACCTTCCTACCTGGCTTTCTACACGTAGGGAGACATCCAAAATCTTGGGACTAATTCAATATACTGTGCTAGGAAGGGAGAGCCTGGCAAGCAGTCAGATGCACAATACCCCATGTTTGAAAGCCTGCAACATTGCCTCTGCCTTCCAATGACATTTGGGAAAAGGTGTAAGGTTCTGAAGAAAGGATTGCAGGAAGCTGAATGCCCTGCTGTCTTCTGCAGACTGCCCAGGAGCAGCCTCTCATTTCTGCCTCAGAGAGGGGAATACAAGCAAGTCAGCCTCAAAATCAACACACTCTTATGGAACACACTCCACATGGCAGATGCAACCTTCACACATCTAGACAATGGGACTCTCTAAATCTCCTCACCCAGTCTCCACATAGGATTGAAAGAGAAATGATTCTCCTCTACTCCCGTTACCTCTCTGAGCTGAAGTTGGAGGCTGTTACAATGACATCATCCTTGCTCTGAACCAGCACGGGAATCTTCCTGCACCCTGGGGACTTCAGCAGTCGCTGTAACAGCTTCAGGGTTTCTTAAAGGGTGAAATGAATATTGTTAGGGCAGCATCTCCCCTCTTTACAAATCACTTTTGTGGGGTCTCTCCCCAAAGGGAGATGGGTGCTCTGGCCACAGATAAGACAGGAGAAGATGGCTAAAGGTGAGACTGTGAGTTTGCTGCAGTCCAGGTAGGACTTAGGAGCCATTCCATCTTCCACTTCAGGCCAGCTAGCCTGCTGCCAAGCAACACTATACATGAACAGACAGACAAGTTTGCAGTGCTGTGAGTAGGCATTTTGTAGCTGTCTATTAGTAGCTTTAAGCAGTCTTTCTAGAAAGGATTTTTCATAGTGAATTAATTGAAAATCAGGACTCAGTGACAGAAGTATTTGAGATTATGCAAATTGCAAATCTATTCTGACCAAACAAACCTCAATACATTTTCCCTGGCAGTCAACTTGCCATAAGAGGCTGGAGAAGCTTGAAAGAGGTAAAGATTATCATCACAGACTAGAGCAATGTGGGTGGACCATATTCAGAAATCAGTGTTTTAGGACAAATCTCATTTCTCAAATTTTCAGCTTTTGCCTCTTTATAACTTATTTCCTAGGCCTCATATCCAGCAGCCAGCAGAGGCATTACCTGATGTACTAGTATCAACCTCCTACAAAGTGCCTGACAATAAATAAAGGAAAAACAAAAGGGTACTAAGGGTTAAAAGAGCAAATAATTACTGTTCTACAATTGTCATCCAATTAGACTGGTTTTTGTAAACAAGTGATTGCCTATGGGAAAGTAATGTTTTGGATACAGAAACACAAGCATCTAATCAGGCCACCTGCTCTTCACAGATATACGTGAGTCAAATCTTGAGTCTATTTATTTTAAACAGAGCATGTCACGTGAGTAGCTTCTCCCAAGAGCAGCTCTTCTCTCTTCACGCTGAGCTAAAGGCTCTCCTTCCTGCCCAGTTATTATCTTATGGTCAGGCCTTACATTTATTTGCCAAACATCTAGTATAGAGATATACAGATTATCTTCGGATCACATGCATCTATTTGCCTGAAACATATTTAGGATGTTTATAGTAATGCACTGAACTACGAACAGTACTCGGAGCATTCACTTCCTTGATTCTTAGGACTGATTATTTAAAAAACCTCATTGCTCCAATTAACCACAGCAAGTTTCTGAAGGCATGAGAAATGCTTCAAGAGAATTTAAAAAATGAGAATAGGTCACAGACTGAAAAAACACCATGCATGGGTTAATGGGACACTGCTGGGGTTCGAGGTGCTTCTTTAACTCTGCTGAGAAAAAAATCACTAGCCCATGCTACTTGTTGCCATCCCTGCTTGTGTCTAGTCCTGCCTCCCATCCTGCTACCATAGCCTACATACGTAGCTGCTTCAAACCATGATTTACTAAGTGTTGGTTGGTTGTTCAGACAAGAGGAAGGAGCTGCTGTAGTTATGCCAGCATACCTGAGAAGTGCCCAGGTGAGCAGGAGGTAACAAGCAGCTGCCCCTTCAGTAACAGCAGGGGGAGATCAAGTCCAATCACAGCTTAAGATCAAACTCAAAATGTGGGCCAGGAGGAAGGCAGCTTTCAAAAGAACTTCCAGACTTTTCCTCCAGCTTTAAATATTCAGCGAGAAAGCAAAGCCCAAACCCCAACTGTATGCTGCTCCCCTTAGAGCTCAATTAAACAAACACTTTACTACAAAAGTGTAGCCAACACTTTTGGGCTGCTGAGTCCCCAGGGTGGGTAATTTTGACAGTGAGTGTAAGTCAACCATCTGCAAAATGAGCAAGGGAAAATGATAGATTTCTGGAAGGTGTTTAGGATGCAGTCAGAACCAGATTAAGCATCTTTCTTCCAGCAGTAATTCCTGAACCCAAGCAGAGGACAGCAACACATAGAGAGGTAAGAAACAGCCCTGGAGAGAGCCTGTAAGACTCACCTTGCAGGATGTTGGCAGGGCACATGTCAATCTTGGTCACCACAACAAAGACAGGAACGTTAAGTGCAAGCGCCAGGCCTAAGTGCTCCTTGGTCATTCCAACAATCCCAGCGTTACTCCCAACCTACACCATGGATATAAAATACATGGATGTCAATGTTCCTTCTGCAGTAAGCGGGAATACAGAGAAGGTCTTGTGTCAGACATGCAGTAGACTGTGGTTAGGTTGTAGATGTGCCACCGGGGCCATATGATCAGACCCAGCTCATCTCAGATGCCACTGGACACTGGCAGAGGACTGACTCATTTCTCCCCAGTTTTAACAAGGTTTTCTAAAATTCAGAAATCTTTCCATTTTCAAGAATCACTAACCTTGGGTTTGTCTGGGACTGACAGTCCTGGGGCACATGCCTCACAGTACAGGACGGATAGCCACAGAGGCTTCTGCTCTCCTGTACTGTGAGATGCTGCCTCCCTCCAAAACCCCACAGGTACTTTGCAACAGGAAAAAAGGCTGAGGCTGTTAAAGCTGTGAACAGCCCCACTCCAGCTGGTATGATCCATCTTTCTTGCTACCTACCATAAGCATGCAGAAGTCAGGTAAGTGGCCGGTCATGCCAAACACGGTGGTTTTCAGGTATTTTTCGTGACCAGCCAGATCAATGAAAGTAATGACCTTGGTGGATTTCTCACAGATCTTTGTCCATTCCAAGCTGCCACCGTGGCTGTCAGGTTTGTTCACCACGTTGCCCTCGCTGTCAAAGCCCAGAATGTCATTGCCCACACTGCTGGTGCGACCTGACTCAATCTCATGCTTGTGGCGGAAGAGCTTTTGCCGAGCAAAGCCCCGGCCATTGTCTAACTCGCCGTGAGTCAAGACACCCAGCAAGGTGCTCTTCCCTGCGTCCACATTGCCAACCACTGCTACCCTGCAGGGGAAGGGAAAAGAAGCCCAGTAAAACATGGTACCTGAAGAAATGAACAAGTGATCCAAAAAACCCAAACAAAAATAACTGACTTTTGCTCCCTATCCTTCAAACAGAGACTATCAAACAGAGACTAGAAAATGTTAGAGCTTCACAAGTAGAGATTCTTTTACAGTTATTAACAGTGGAGATCCCAGACTCTGGGGACCGGGATTTGGAAGACTGTGGAAACATATCACTGGTGTCCAAAACACAGTCAACTGAATGTGATGTTGCTTGATGCCACACAAAGTGTTTCTATTCCAACTCCTTGTCTCTGCAATCCAACATAAACACTGTGGCAATTAAAAAGGAAGACTAAATCCCAACTTGGTCTAGAACACCTCTGCCTTTCACACATTTCTTATGCTGCAACAGCACCAAGCGCTAAGAAGAGCACAAAAATTAAAACTGTTGTTCCCAGAAACGGATAAGCTCAAAAAAAAAGTGAAATACTTTAGGAGGAAGCCATGTCCTATAGCAAGTTCTTTCTTTGATGAATGTGGCTATTATGGCTGTTGGCAAATGTTAGAAATCCTCTCCATCCGGGTCTGGGCAGACTCTCAAGTCATGTTATATAAGCTAGTATATGTCTATTAAAAGGTGACTTGGATCATCACAGTCTTGGAACACAACTGGATCCTCCGTCAAAAGTATTGTGTTCCAGCAGTGTACATATAATACACATACATAGAGCCACATGTGCACACGTGACTCTCCTCTGGCAACACAGCATACTAAAAGATGCCCTCAACTGTGAGGCTGTCACCCAGAGAGCAACAGCCCTCTGCTAAACACAGGCAAATTTCCACCAACAGTTTGCTCACAAAAGAGACAGCATCATCAACAAAAAGGCAATTTCATCAGCAAGGAGTGGTCATGCACGACTCCCTTTGTGGGGTAGCTCCAACACCCAGACCCGAAGCGGCGTTGCTGGCTCAGCACCCACGCACTGCTCACACGGTAAAAATGCAGCTGAGCTGCTGACTAACGCTGTCTCCACCCGGCTCCTCACCTGACCTCCAGGAAGTCGTTGTCACCCACACGTTTCCGAACGAGGTAGTCGCGCACCTTGCCCCCGGCCTCCTGGTGCTCCCTCAGGAGGATCACATCTGCCTCAATCTGCTCTGCCATGCTCTTCAACGTGGCATAGGACGCCTCCATGTCTGCCTCACTCAGCCCGTACTCAGTCCCATCTGGAGTGGTGTGGAAGAGACAAAGGGCAGTCAGTGAGCAGCACCTTGCAGCAGGCAGCAGCACTGTCATCCTGCCTGGGACCTTCGTACCCATTGGGATTTATATGTGGACTGGAGGTGTCAGCCATGTACACAGAGTAAACGCGCTTGGCCCAAAATACAAAGGGGTGGTCTTCACTCAAATTCTTACAAGACACTAGAAAATCACCATCTTTCATCTAGATGAAACTGGAGGAGTTTTCTTCATAATTTTTACAAGCAAATACATAGGGATTGTCAAGAAAGTCACATTTCTGTCTCATTCCCTTACTTCACATGCTGATGGTATTTTATGTCCTTCAGTCAGATAAAGTATCTCTTACACTGCAAGAAGAGGTAAAGCAATAAAAAAAGAAAAGCTCTGAGTGAAGCATCACCACAATTAGCCAGTAAATGTGGCATTGCTTCCTCTGAGCAGCTCACCCAAGCAAAAGAGCTGACAGTCAGAGCATGCCAGTGGTAACTATCTAGACAAGGTCAAGGCCATCACTGTCTTTTTCCTAATCCAGGTACTGGGAAGGTACACAGATTTGACCCCAGAATCTCCTCTGCGGGTAAAAAATGCCCACAAAACAACAAACAAAGGTGGAGAGCTACACTGCACCCAGATGACCAAAGTTATTGTCATGTGTACATGATCATAATCATGGCTGACTCATCGGCTGGTAAGCAGGAACTGCAGTTTGCATGAACTTATCAGCATTTTAATTACTGCCCAGCTCCAAAACTAGCAGAGTTACTGGGTGGTTTCCAACCTTGCTCCTAAGCTGGCTGAGAAGGAAGAAATCTAAAACAAGCCTTGGGTTATAGGAGGGGAACGAGAAGTAGGGGACAGGACATGGCAAGACCCAAGGGAGAAAGGGAAAGGTCACTACTGGTGAACTGATGATCTTCCTATGGCAATCTTCAATTGCTTCTCATTTAGCTGAGTTGGATATCTGGGATGATCAAAATCACAGATGCTAAAAGGGAATGAGAAGGAGCGACAGTGGGTAGGGATACCAAAATCCTTTCTCTGTTGAAAATATCCCCATCTTCCTCGACTACACTGCAACCCAAAAAGAAGTCAGAAGTTCAGCCTCGTATTTTAAGAAACAAATGCCTACTTCTAAGTAAATAATTGCAACAACCACCAGTTAATACTCTCACAAGGTATCCTAGAAGAAAAAGCAGGTACTAGCCTGTCTAGCTAGATCTCCACTGCAGATGTGCTTATCCCAAACACCAAGGATACAGTCTACATGTGGGAAGCTTGCTTGGAGGAAAGAACATAATCCCTGACTGCATGAACACAGGCTATTTAATTATGACTTTTCCTCTATGTTGGCTGCTTCACGAAACTCCAAGAAAACCCAAAAAGCACACAGTTCTGAGGTTACACAGCCCCGTCCCTCCATTATTTCAGCCAATCCTGGCAGGGTTTCATATTTTTCCTCAAACACAGCAAATGCCTGATCATGAAAACCTCATATTCAGCATACTCCTTTCAGCATACTCATATCCAGTATACTTGAAACACGCCTTTCACTTTATGATAACCATAGACAATTATTTTATATTCAGAAATTTCTATTTCAAAGCAAGGGCATGTTTTGCCCTTTACCAGCATCAGATGCAAATACTTAAATTGTCAAAAAGAACAAAAATGTAATCCATGCTAACTGCTAAAATCTGCAAAGGCAAATGACTACAGTCACACGCAAATTAATGTGACAATAAAGGTCTCATGCTGAGCAAAGGAAAACCCTTCCCTCCATAGCAGACACATACTAACACAGAAAGTCAGCAGCATATATTTTGGCTATGTGAAGTATCTATAATAAATTCCTGTGGGTTAAAAATATGTTATTTCCAACAGAGCAGTGAACAAAATCAGACAGAACAAGACCCTCACAGACATTGAGGACATCTGTACTACAGCTGTTATTGTAATTTTAGATTCTTTGTCTTTTCCTGGTGTGCTCAGACAAGATATACCTTATTTCCAAAAAAGAACTTGCGTGATTATAAAAAAAGTATGTTTAGCTCCACTACACGAGATAGTTGTTGGCAGGAATAAAATAGAAGAATCTGTCCCACATATTCTGCTATGTTTTATGGACATTTTCAAGTAATTCTGGAAAAATAAGCATTACCTGCAGCAGCAGTCTAGTTAGATGAACTAGGTTTTTCTTATAAGAATTTTTTGTTGTTTTGCTGGGGAAGCTATACCCACCTGATCCTTGTCCAATGACATAGATGGTCTCCCCACATCCCTCATCAATCCTCTCTGACATCTGCTGGAGCAAACTGTCATACTGCTCTGAAGTTGGACTCACCATCACCAGCTGGAAAAAAAAGATTGAATATCCATTTGCAGATGTCAGGCAAACAATTTCAAAACCAGCTTCAGTTACAAGCACAATCAATCTATGTGCTTTATTAAAAGAGAAGGACTCTTTTTCCAGGACCGCTTTGTGGTGGTTTTGTTTTCTTTTTTACACCAGTTTTGCTGACAGCTATTTCCTTGTGCCATGGCACAAGGTTGTTTGTCTGAGCTCAGAGTTCATTTATGCAGGAAAATACACTTCAAAGCAAGTAAGAATACCAAGCATCTCATTTTGATGTAACCAGTGTTTAAAAGCCACATTTAAGTGAACGCTCCAATATGTTTTCATTCAACGAAAACAGAAAGGGGAGCAGATATTTTCTCCACAGAAATTCCTTAGCTGGGTACTCCACAGCCTCTGCTGTGAAGAGTGCTGCTGCTTCCCTGAAACATGACTGGACAGCCAACGAGACCTCACTGCAGAGAACACCTGGGCACCAAAATCCAGAGCATCTTTTAAGTCTTTCACATATTTGATGTCCCCTTCTGTTTTCTGAGGGGGCAGAAGGAAAGGAGAGAACATGAATAAACATTATTTTCAAATTTTAGGTACTTTACACAACGGTGCTGAGGGGCAGACATGCAAAGCAATTTGTATGAGCACATCTGGAGGTTTCAGCAGTGGAGAGCTGCAGTTTTGCAGGCCAGCAGCTGTGCTACCAACAAACTTTGACTGCAGCCATTGTAATAATCAAACTTCCTTTGCCCTTCCCTGCAGCAACATCAAGAGAATGAAAAAATAAAACAGAAATAAAGCAGGAAATGAGGACAAGAGAGTGCTTCAGGAATGATTTTCCTAGAATGGAATAGCACCATTTCTGGCAGAAACCTGCACTGCTCACACAGTACAGCTGAGAACACTTGCACAGAGCAGCCACAATGGTGACATGGCAGTGACAGACCAAGGAGACCTCCATCAGCCACTCTATCTGCTCTCTGGCTGCCTCCATGGTTACAAATCTGTTGGTGGCTGAGCATCCCAGTACAGCAGCCTGATAGCTGTTGCAATTGAGATTTACATTTCTGTGAAAAAGGCACTCTTAGTAACAGTTATTAAAGGCCAACACCCACCAAGAGCCCTAAGGATAGCACACCTGTGCCAACACTCAGTGACATCCACAGCTCTCCCTACATACACGTCCCAAAATCATACCCAGAAAGAAGCACTTCCCTTCACTAAGCACTGAGACTGAAAGCTATGCTAAATTAGATGTTTGACTAAAACACATGGTTTAGAGCAGTTGACAATAACATCCTCAAGTCTGCCCAACATTCCCTAACAGCCTGGCTTGCTTAGCACAGTTAACACAACGTGTTTTCAAGGAGAAGCTATCTTTACCACCACCATTACACACTTGATGAATGCCTTTTTTGGAAATCTAGAATGTAAAAGAACCCAACCCCCCACAAATAACGTTTAAGCAGCTTCCAAAACCATAGTGACGCGTGCTGGGACACTGAAGCACAGACAGCAGGTGCTGGTTAGAAGGTTTTAAGGCTGCCAAAGCAACTTTTTCCACAGATGTTAAGGGTCCTAGACAGCAGGGATTTGTCTGCAAGGGCCAGACACCTATAAGAGATACAATCACCTTCACGTGCCCCTTTTGGACACATGCCCTACCTAAGCCTTACAACTACTTGGCATGGTTCTGCAAAGTGTACCAAAGCACTCTGCTCTGCAAGGTCACAGTCCTTCTATTTCATGCTATAAAATAATGAGTTTTGCTTTTATTAGTTTTTCTTTCAGTTCTGTTTTCTTTTTAGTTTCATTTTCTTCTTGAGGGAAACCACTGGATGTAAATGCACTGACAGTGAAATCAGCAACTGTTGAGAGGCTCAATCCCGGCAGGAATGTATGGCTGTGTTTTGATGTGTAGGGTTCATTTTGCCCTGCAAGTACTTTCAGGAATACCTGGATGCACAGCAGACAAGCTCACTCTTTAGGACAGTGCACCAGCACAAGCCAGATATTCAGGAATATCTATTAAACAGGCTGTAACACACACAAAGATCAATAAAATAGCAGGGGCCACCAGCACAGGACAAATTAACTTCAGTTTCTTCAAGTCTCATCACCAGCTTTGTTTTTCTGAGTCCAAGTGCTTCAGCAGTGTGAGCAGGCAAGGTGTTGTAACAAGTACCAAGGCAGTCAGCAGCTCATTGTACCCTTTCATCACGTTGCCAGGCAGGAGGGCTGGGGGCCTCAAACAGCACAGGCTCTCTCACATCAGCCCACAACACTGTTCCCCCACACTGCTGCTTTCACTGCCATGCAAAGGTGCTCCTGAAGGGTGTTCCAGTAGCAGACTGCCTCCAAAGTTTACTCCACAGCTGATGAAGCTCATATGACATAGTAGGACATCAAGAGAAGTATCTGTAGATAAAACAGCCGCTTTCATGGATCACACCTTCCAATACCACTCAGTGTTTCTGACAACTGTTTCTGCAGTTGCAGCCTCAGCCAGTTGTGTAGTTTCCTGGGCCACTGCAAGACATGACATGCTGTTTTGAAGATCTCTTTAACTTCCTGGATGGAGAGAGCCTGTCCTCTGCCATCTCCTTGGTCAAAGAGAAGCCGTCCATTCTGGCTCCTCTGCTTTTTTTTTGCTTCTCATCTTTGAGCAAGCCCTCCATACCAGCACTACGAATGCATGTTTTTAAGAGGCTTTCACAAAGTCAAAAATGTTCACTTTTGTTCTTTCCACTTTGTCAGGCACTGAGCAGTTATCACTAGGAGCCATGAGGGTATAGCAAACTCAGGTTTCCTATAAGGCAAAAAAGTGACAACCAGTTATTGTTTTATTCTTAAGACAGTGGAAGGAAACATCTCACAAGTTTGAAATGCCATCTCTCAAGTCCCCTCCCAGTCTCTGCGGAGAGGTGGTTTTGCCTGCCTCCATGAAGCAGACAAACTGTAAGTATTAAAGACAAACCAAATACTACGTGGTACATAGTGCTGCTCTTTACTAGAAAAACAGAGCTTGACATTTGCACAGCTCGAAAGCCACCATCAGCCATTGAGTAGCTGGGGGAAAGGTACCTTCTGTGGTGTCATATTTTGTTTTCTATGCCCTGTAGACATACATTGTTCAGGTGCTATTATGTTCTGTTGTCAATGTAGATCTAATATAAGTATCAGCTTCACTAATAGCCTTGTGTGCTATGGTTTTTGACCTGAAAGTTGATTACTGCTGCAGTGTGCTGGCACTGAAGGAAAAACAAGCACCCATTAAGATCAACACGGTAATGAATTTGTGCTGATGAATGGAACTGTTTCCCTGACCAGCTGACAAGGTGCACTTGATAAGAGAATCCCAAAGTGTTCCTCTCTAAGAAGAGCTCACCTTACGCACAGGGAAAGGACTGAGGGAAAAGTATTAACACAGCCAAGGGGTGGGTCAGAAGTACCAGGACAGAACTAGCAACTATCAAACAAATCGATTGCAGTGGGTGTCCCCATTTTAAGTAGGGAGTGGAGTGGAATAATTCAACTGGAGAAAAGATGGGGGGGGTGGTGGGGATGGGGCGGGGAGGTCAGGGAGGCACAGGTTAGCTACTGCTAACCATATGCGATTGCTGTTTTGAGTACACAGTGGGAGATTAACTCAAAGATGGAGCAGAGCTCACAGTTTCAGCTCTCATCCAAGGTGGGGATGAATGAAAAGTCCAGGGAAAAGACAGCAGCTGCACAATGCTGTATGGAAAAGTAAATTAAAATAAAGGTCAAAAAAATGCTTACCTACCACCTCCAGAGCACCTCCAGATTTCTAGGAATGGAAGACAGACTGACACCACAAATGGGAGTTTGTTGGAGAAAAGCACTCTTCGCTCTTTGCCAGAGTTTTGGTCAGGTTCCTGGCTGTCAAGAATCAGTGATGCAGTCCTTGGCATCCTCCCTGGCCCTCTTCCACAGCAGTCACGTCCAAGACAAAGCACAGATCAATACTGGCATCCTGTACAAAAATCTTGTCCAGCTCATTAAGGCACGATCAATAGATACTATAGGTTGGATTTGTGTTCTTTACTATCTTACAAGACATCTTCGTAACATTTGTTTTAATACAGTACCATAGTGTAAAATAGCCATCAAAAAGAAAAAGGTTTCCATGTACACAGAGACATTTCCTCTTTCCTTCTCTGTGTATAGAGGGCAAGAAAGTCCAGGACTCTGGAACAGCTTCAGCTGGAAGCATGAAGAGGAGGGATGACAGAAAACAAGGAGGAAACAACAGCTATGCTGACTTCTGGATCACATAATTACAAGCAAACCAAATGAAGTTTTCAGGAGACGTTAGAGTGGGAGATAGCACCACGTACACCAAACCCATGGCAGCAAAAGGTATACAGTTAAAGAGATCAGCCAGTTAGGAAAAAAAAAAATAGAAGGCAGTGACAGAAGGCAACTAAGGTAGTCTGTAGCAGGCTCTGGCACACACATATTACTACAATGTACCTCCCTACAGGATGGAAGCGACAACTGATTCTGACAGAAATAAGGCCACCACACAGTTTTGTCCCTGGGATCCTAGAAAGGAACTGCACAAGGTGAACAAGCCTTTTCTGCGTTGACTTAACCCTGTTTGCAACAGCAAGACACCCTTGTCACTGGGCTCTTGTGCTCAAAAGTTACAAGCTCTGACGTCCTTTTAAGATTGTGGAGAAAGTCCCAGGAACTAGTACAACTGGCAGCAGAGATAACTAAGAGACCCAGCGCGGAGGGGGGACGTCGCAGCAGCTGACAGCTCCAAACCCTTCGCTTCCTGAGGCTGCTACACCGGCTGCGGGCTGGCGTTTCCCCCGAGCAGCCGAGGCGGGGAAAGCGCAGGGCGGAGCAGCCTGCCAGCACTCTCCTGTCCCGGCCAGAGTACGGGACAACTTTACTGCGCCTCTCCCGGCCGCCTCGACACGGCACCTCCGGTTCTGCTGCCCGCCCAGGTGATGCTGGGGCCCGGGGAGCGCTCAGGGGAGCCTCCCGTCCCGGCGGAGGCAGGCGGGCCCCAGCCTCCCGCTCTCCTGCGAGAGGTGGGGGGGGAGCGGTCAGGTTCGGGGGCAGCCCCCCGCGCACGGCCGAGCGGCAGGGAGGAGAGCAGCGGGGGCCTGGCGGGGTGATGGCGCTCGCCGCCGCCCGCCCCCCCGCCGGGCCTACCTTACTGGTGAGGTCGATCTCGGGCTCGCCGTTGAGCGCCTCGCCGTCCTCGCCATCGAAGGCTGCGCGGAGGGGACAGGCGGCCGCCGCCACGCGAGGCCGTCCGCCCGGGGAGCCGGGCTCCGGGGCGAACATACAGGCCGGCACCGGGGACCCCCCGGGAACCGGGGACCTGCTCCGCTCCGCCGCCGCCATCTTCCCTTCCCTGCCCGGCTCTCCGCCCCGGCACCGCCCCCGGGCCCGCCAAGGCGGCGCCCGCCAATCACCGGCGGCGCAGCGGCGGATTTTGCATGTTGCCATGGCGGCAGTGGGTGGAGCAGTGGTTATTCATGAAGAGGCCGCGCCCCCCCGAAGCGCGCGAAGCCAATGGGAGCAGCACTGCCAGCTCGGCTTGTTTTCTACACATACACACACACACAACCCAGCCCTCTCGACGTGTGAGGGGCCGGCTGCCCAATAGGAGAGCTGGGCTTCCTGACAAACAACCTTGGCAGCCAATCGAATAAGGGATCTCAAAGGCCTGGGTGGGACTAAGCGCTGCCACAGAGCCCGCCCTGGTGGGAGGGCATTCTCTCGGGATTGCCAGTGAGAAAGAGGCGATTTTTTACTGATAATTGTGTCAGCCAATGGAACAGGGTGGGAGTGCGCCTGCAGTCCGCGGGCCCTCCTGTTTCGGCGCGTCGTGCCGCCAGCTCCTGGGGTTCGCAAAGGATCCCGCCGCCCCTACCGCCTCGGGCTCCCTGCAGAAAAGCCCTACGCCTGCTCGCCATGCGAGCCCACGGTGTTCAGACCGCCGGCGGGGGCCGCCAGGCAGGACTCCAGCGCCAAGGAGGAAACGCCTCTGGCTGAGGGGTGACTCCTGCAGACCGGCCTGTCCTGCTGCTCTGCCTAGCCACACGCACGCTTGTGGCACCACGGCCGCAGACGCCAACCTGCGGCACAGAACGAAGCCGGGGGAGGATACACGTTTGTTTATTCAGCGGGCGGTGAGACCGCTTTCGCTTCTGTGTCGGTTCGTTTCGCCGCTGACGTCAGAGGGGGCGCGGCCGACGCCGGCGCGTGCGGGGGGGCGCGCGCGCGCGTGTGTTTGCGTGCGTGCGCGAGAGCGGCGCGAGCGGGGCCCGGCGCGCGCGTGCGCCGGCGCGGGGCGGCCCGAAGGGGCCGAGCGGGCGGTGAGGAGCGGGGCGGCGGCGCCCGACAGGCCCGGCCCGGCCCGGCCCGGCCCCTCCAGCGCTGCCGAGGGGAAGGGCGGGCGCCTCGGCACAGCAGCGAGCCCCGAGGGCTGGGCGGGGGTTAGACGGGGGCGTCTCCTCAGCGCGGTGGGCTGCGGGGGTCGCTGGGCCTTGGTCCTGGGAAGCGGCTCCCGCCTGCGTGGCTGCTGTTGTTGTTGTTGTTTTGGTGGTGGTGAGCGGGTAGGGTGGAGGGGCGGGGTGGAAAGGTGCGAGGCAGGCCGTGGGGCTGGTCCCGCCTGCCCTACCCTCGCTCCCACGGGCTTTGAGCTGCCTCTAGTTGCTAACGGAGACTTCCCTTTGTCGGAGAGCAGGGTGACCTGTGAGGAATCGCCATCCCCGCAGCCTGGACTTGGCTTTCTCCTGGCCTAGCAAGAAGTGGTTTTCTTAACCGAGCTGTTGGCATCTTTCTGCCAGGATTCAGTCGTTCCCAAAGGAATGGAGGAATGCAGCTGATAAGTGCTTAACCGCCCTGTGCTCCTATAGGCAGTACCAGGCGCTGGCTTCATCTTCCATTTGGCACTTCGGGGCTGGGCCTTACCCTGTTACCTGGTCTGGAAACTTTTTTTAGTGGCACTGTAGACTAAAGGAGATGGAAGAAAAGGAGCGATGTGATGAATTCCAGCTGATACCTTCACACTAAGGAGAATTGTATATTTTGACATTTTAATTTTTTTTTTTCTGTGGAGGGGAGGGAAATACTACATTTTAAAGGGTATGGGAGGAGGGAGGTTGCAGATCTTCATGTGGTTTTTAAAACCAGCTGTCAGAGGCAATTACTGAATAAACTGAAGCACAAGAAGAGGATTTGTAAGCTGGAAGCAGTGCTAACCCACAAAAGAAAGGGGCACTGACTGTCTAGGCAGAAACTTCAGCCTCATTCATTTTTCACCATCTACTCCCCATCTGCCCATCGAGAAAATGAGTTGTGTGCCATGGAAAGGTGACAAGACCAAATCGGAATTGCCAGAGCCATCCCAGCTACCGCCACAGCACATTTACCATGAGAAGCAACGTAGGGAGCTGTGTGCCCTCCATGCCCTCAACAATGTCTTCCAGGACAGCAACGCCTTCACTAGGGAAACCCTGCAGGAGATTTTCCAGAGGTAGGATGCTTTTTCTTCTGGCATTAGCTTCCTCTTGGTCTCTGCTGGTTGGGGGAATTTTTGGGTGTTATCTGGGGGAAATAGAAAGAAAGGGAAGGATTCTGTGCCACTGCTTTGAACGGAATGTTCTTGTCTTTTTAACCCCAGCCTTTTTTTTTCCCCTCCGTGCAGAAATTCTTTCTCATTTTACTTGTTTCTTAACCTGTACTGGCTGCCAGCTTTGGGTCCAAGGGTTTTATTGCTGATGCTGTCATTTGGCTGGAGTGCTGTATTCCTCTCTGCTCACCTTAATGCCTCTTCTACCTCTCTTCCATATTTTTACCCCTGCCGTGTGTAGATAAATTACCTAGATGTTAATAATGGATTAGAGGATTGTCTTTGGAGAATGAAGGTGGCAGGAATGACTTACTAACTTAGTACTGCAACACTTGCAATTTTCTTAGAAATAAGGTGCTTTGCAAAATGAGTGATTCTTTATTCAGGAGGTTCAGTTAAGTTCTTCAAATATTTTGAGCTTTTTTTTTTTTTTCCATGCAGCAAGACTCTGTACTCTCTCAAGCTGGATTTAATTTCAGTAGCTGGATGCCTGTTTCCTGTGGCATTGCTAAATGTTTCCCAGGAGCTTCAGATAATTAATAAAGTGGGTTTGAGTTTTACAGGAATGAATATAAATTATCAATGTGGCCTGTGCAATAGCTCTAATTTTGCTTGGTGTTTATTTTAACACTGTTTACATAAACACTGAGCAAAATAAACAGTTTTTATTTCTAGTGTTTTGATGCTTTATGAAAATTCTTCTGTGTGAGCCTTTATTTGTTCTGGTGACCCACCACTGATGAGCCTAAGCGGTGATAAAGGAAATAATGGAAAAGGGCTCCTCTCTGATACTCAACCTGCAGATGCTGTAAACATCGTGTAAGTTATGGTTGAAATCTTGTTACCAGCAGTTGACAGCATCTTGTGTTTGTGACAAGCAGGAGGCCCCACATCATGGCAGCAGTTGCTGTGGGATGGGGCAGTCGTGGGACCCTGTGCTGATGAGCAGGCAGCTTGTGGGCCTGTTGCTGTTCCCCTGAAAACTGGCAAATTTATGAAACTGGCGCTTGACTCATCAAACTCATGCCTGTCTTTGGCAAACGAATGTGGTGAAGGACAATAGCAAGTATCAGATTGAAATGCTATTTATTGTAGCGTTGCAGATAAAACTCCTGCTGGTGGAGTGGAGCTGGTCTGTGGCAGGCTCAAGGCACTCTTTGTCCAGTGTAAACACACTGTGGTTTTGTTCCAGTGCAGCAATTGTCAGAATCTTAATCACAGCTGGATTGCTTTTGGCCTGAAGCAAACAAAGGCAGTTCATGTGGTAGAAGGAGTGTGGTGATCTAATTAGTTGGCTGTGATTGCGTTTGGTGAGACAGAATTAGTGTGCAGCATGAAACCTCTCAGAAAAAGACTGGATATTAATTTTGTTGGACCTCTTTCCTTAGGAGGGAGAGTTTGTCTTTTATTCCAACTTGGAGTTCCATCCTAATATTAGATCAAGATACACATACTGATTCAGCCCCATGGTAGTATGGAAACACACATGGATATTCCTCTTGCTAATGGACGAGCTATAAGTCATACATAACAATTTCCACTGCCTTTCTATTTCTGGTGGGTGACTACCTGTGTGTAGCTCTTTGACTTGCCTTTAAGAAGTGTGAATTTAGTTGCCCTTTTTATGTCACTTGTCTTTTTCTGTGTCTACTCATATTCAATGTGTTGATAAAGGACGGATGAATATTTTTAATAATCTACAAAAATGTTGAGGGCTTATTTTTAAACCTGGTGTTGACAAGGTAACAAAATCACAAATAAACTTAAGCTCTCTAGCTTTTACCACATTCCTTGGAGAATGATTGAACCAGATTACTTAATCATTAGCTTCCCTTTTGCTGCATCCTATTGTGTAAGGCCAGGGTAGTCTGATGATTATCATCTCAAGCATATGCCAAAACTTGGTCTGGGCACCCCTCTGATTGTGTAGTCTTTCCCTCTTCTTTCCTCTAAAACAAGAAATACCTTTTTGATGTTTGTCTGGCTTTTGTTGAGGAAGTATGTTCCAAGTGTTGCATGGAGATACAAACAAAATCTCTTCGCTTCACTGGAGTCTGCATATTGAGACCTGATTAGGAAAGCAAACAGCATGCAGGAATCTTGGTGCTCCTTATGTTAGGACAACATGCTGATGAAAGTTTCTGATAGAAAGATCAGGAGGATTATTTACCTGGATTTCTGTCCAGCTTGGTCAGTCTTCCTCAGCTCAGTCTCTAGATAAAAAGTACTGAAACAGCAATTTAATTCCTTGTCTAGTCAGAATCCTTCAGCTGATGATTGTGGACCCTGCTTAGGTATGTGTGGGTCAAGATGTTGAGGTGGTTCTTGGGGCAAGTTTGCTCACAGATGCCAGTTTTTTGTTGCTCATGCTGGTCACCTCATTGCATTTCTGGGGTTCTGGAAGTTATGTGAAGGAACAAAGATAAATGTGTTCTTTCAGCTCTTGAATAAGCTTGTCTGGAAAATGGTGCCATGAGAGCATGCTTCTGCAGCCCAAAGGGCTCTCTGAATTGTAAGGTTTTCCTTGCTCACTCACTGGTG